TTGTAACACTCACTATTGTAACACTCACTATTGTAACACTCACTATTTTGCCATTCAAGCCATTAACAAGTATGATGCAACATTGTGGCTCCCAGAGCAGTTCCTAAACAGCTGAGGTCCACATTTTCAGTGACTACTGATGAAAAACTATGAGGGAAAGCATACACATTATACAAGAAGCATGTCTAGCCAATATGTTTATAACCAAGTCTAGGAAAAACAGTTTCTAACTCTGTCAAGGTTACAAAACAGTAGCATTTTCCCTACAGAGGCAAATTGCTTTCAGTGAGATTAGTCCATGTTTTAATATCTCTTATCATCCCAAAGTGTGGGCAGACTGTATTCTTCATGTAAAACCAACATGACATGTACTTACTTCCTGGAAAATTACTGCACAAATACTCAACATAGCTATCCTGCCATCCTAGCTACACAGGGCAAAATCTCCTGCTATTCTGCCTGATGGGGAAACAGTCAGCACATTAAGAACCCTCCTTTTTCGACTTCATCAGGCACACCCAGCAGGAGGTCAGACTCCCTGTTCCACTTTTCTTTCACTTTGATGCAACATGAAGATTGTTTAATAAGTACACAGAAACATTCTTGCACTATGCCACCATAGTGCGAGACCACACAGCAAAGCAACATGATAAACTAAGCTGTTATTTACAATGATTCACAGCAGAATTCACCACCAAGCATATTTGTACAAGAAGCTTAAAACTGGGATATTTTACTGGAACAATCGGTAGATTTCACTTTCGAGGAGGTTAGGATTGTTTAGTACAGAGTTTATTAGAACATCATTTCAAAATGATCAATTAAAATACTTCCCTTCAGAACTAAGTTGTAAAACATAAAAATGGTACTATACCTGTTTAATCAGCATGTAGGTCTCCGACATGATCTTTTCAATCTTTCCCAGATCAACAGTCATAACTTTCTGACCTTGCTGCCAGACCCTGTACGCGTCTAACAGCAACGTTTTCCCAGATTCTGTGTCATCTATCAGTTTTCTCTTCCTGCTTGTTTTCCTGACCACCTGACTGGCCACAACATGGGGCACTGCTGTTGAGACTTGCTGTTTTGAGCTGATGCTCAACTCTTCCAAAGACAGTTCAGCAGGTTTACATTCAGCACTCTTTCCCTCAGTAACCCCAACAGTTTTACTGTGTTCTGTATCCAAACCACTGGGAGGTTTGAATGAAAAATCCAATTTCCCCTGTTCAACAGAGCCATCCAGTTCCATTGGCTCCTCTGTGCCGATGCATGTTTTGCTAATGTCACCCAATACTGGATCATTTTTATCTCCTTGTTCCATGTTCACAACCTGGGGCGACTGGCCTCTTGGAATATCCTTTACCCCATTCTCTGTATTTCTTAAAGGCCCATCAGAGTTGGTGAGTTTCTTGGTCACAACACCCTTGTGCTCCTCAGCAGTAGGCTTGTTTGAAACATCTGTTGTCATCTCCCCCATTGGAGAGCCTGAAGATCTTGGAGGCTGGTCTTCAGAAATCTAAGCAGCAAGAACAATGGAGGAAAACATCTGTTACATAGTTAACCCACAACTTGACTTTCCTTGACACTGTTCTCTTTCTTGGGACAGCAAATAATCACATTTCCCCTCAACAAATCCATTTCCTTTATTTAAACCTGCAGGTACCCATTATCTCAAAGATCTGAAGCTGAGGAAAGGCACCCCTTCTCTTTACCTTCTTTCCAGACATTAAAACCTTAAATCACTTGGTTATCAGTTAGAATGTACCTAACACAACCAGGAACAATCGTCTTCTTTGTGATCCAGTTGAAGATGGTTTGTGATAGCACAAGAATCCAAACATTTGTTATAGGAGAGCTCACTCTAATCCATCAGAAACACATCTGCTCTGAATAGACTTAAAATGATCAGAAATACGATCATCCACGGGAAGTTCCCAACCAAACGTTTCTGCAGATTATAATTCTACCATGGGAAGGAGGGATGGAGTGTGCTACTGGCCAGGCTCTCATATTAACCACTAGAGGAAAGGGCCGTCAAAATATTCCTGACAATTAACAGCATAATAATAGGTAGAATTACCCCAGATAGTTCCTTCAAGTTGTCCTCAAGCACCTTTACTGTGAAAATTAATGCCCGCTTGGCGAGCACTTGACGATCCACATCACGCAAATACTTCCTGTGAGAAAAACACCAAACAGAAACACTATGACAACAGAATGCAATGCATCCAGTTAATGGAACCACAACTATTTAACTTCTACATGAACCACTTCCTCTATAACTGTTGAAGTCAAATCTTAATTTCTTTGAGAAAAGAAATAAAATCACTTCTTTCACCTAAACGTCTACATTTTGTTCAGATATTGTTTACACGCCAGTGTGAAGATACTCACAAATGGATCACCGAGATTTCAAAGTTAGGAAAACAAGCTCGACGTCAATTATAGAGTTTGAAAGGCCGTGTCTTAAATTGGTTCTTTTGAGATATTTTATTTAAGACCTGGAGGCTGCATGCGATAGGTTTTAAAATAGCTTCAACCTTTGGGACTGAGTAACTGATGAAAGTACCTTTTCACTGCAAGTCCTGTTCATCAACCATCCTTGTGCTCAATGACCTACAATGGTGCCCAGTTCACTAACCATGAAATATCAGAGCTCTTATTCTAATATTCAAATCCCTCCATTGACCGCACTCCATGTTCATGACCTCCAAGCCTCCAACAACACTACTTGTCAATTCCAAATCTCTTATGCATCTTCGCTTTCTTTTGCACTGTAAAATTCTATGATGTTCTTGCACTCCCATCGATAGTTATGTCCTCTGTCGAGGCATTAACCTCAATTTTCTCCCTAAAATTCTCCTCCTTTTCTACTCCTTTAGAGTTCTTTGAAGTTTCAGTTTTTTGACAAAGCCTTTAGTCTGCTGTCCTAATATCCCATTCATTGGGTGATTATGCTCCTATGAAGCATCTTAGGGCATGATGCTACATTAAAAGCTTTAAATGAATGCAAGCTGTTGATGTTGACTATAAATGCATCAATTTAAAAACAATCTCAACAGTTTCAATCTTGTCTCTTTTGTAGGTGACTAGGCTGCACAATGCTGGGCTAATGCAACACAAATTGGACAACAGTTATGTCTCATTCCAGCTTCAAAGGCGGTACTAACACAATGTGGAGGGAATGAACTCTGTTGTTATACAGTGACTACAATACTGCACACTCCATATGATAATACATGGGAAACATTCTTGTCCTCAGCACCAAGATTTATCTCCTGTAAGTTAGGCAAAGACATTATTCAAATTTAAATACCTCTGACAATTCTTCCCATTGCTGCCTCATGTGAAAAAATCCAGCAAATGGTTTAGTAATGAGCCATGCAAAGTACAAAAGTTCTTAATCTGAGATGACAAGTATGCAGGCAGAGTCATACAGCACAGAAACAGACCCTTTGGTTCAACCCATCTATGCTGATCATGTTTCCAAACTAAACGAGCCCTGTTTAGCTCACATTCCTTTGAACCTTTCCTAATCACACACCTATCCAAATGTCTCTTAAATGTTGTAACTTTTCCTGCATCCACCACTTCCACTAGCAGTTCATTCCACATACAAACCATCCTCTGCGTGAAAAGGTTGACCCTCAGGTCCCGTTTAAATCTTTCCCCTCTCACCTTAAAAATACTCTTGCCCACTACCCACAACCACCCCGCAGCCCACGCACCCCACCCCACCCACCCACCAACAGCGGTTTTGAACTCACCCATTCTAGGGAAAAGACCTTTGCTATTCCCCTTATCTATGCCCCTCATGATTTTATAAACCTCAATAAGGTCATTCCTCAGCCTCCTAAGCTCTGGTGAAAGAAGTCTCAGCCTATTCAGCCTTTCCTTATAACTCAAACCCTCTAGTCCCAGTAACATCCTGGTGAATCTTTTCTGAACCCTCTCCAATATCCTTCCTATAGCAGAGCGACCAGAACTGTATACAGTGCTCCAAAAGTGGCCTCACCAACGTCCCTGTTCAAATATATATGATAGGACAGTCTTCAGAAAAGTGATCATTTAGACCTACTGAACTGTAACTCAGCAAGAAGGACTATCTTAAGATGAGGAAAACTGAGAGTGAGCAAGTATCCTAACTAAATTGCTGGACAGTTTCTTGCCTTATTCTGAAGTAAATGTTAAAGGAAACAGCACAATAACACATAGCCAGGTGGCTTGTTTACTTGAAATTAACCACACTGTATCTTTACAGGGCCACTCCTTCAATTTGGTTGGGAAAGGTCAGAGTACTGACCACACACTGGTTTCATCCTGAGATTAGTCAATATTATTGCAGAACTAAACAAACTGCTTGAAGCCAGAGACATAAAATCAAAGGAATACGGTCAATGCCTATCCTAGTGGCTTCTGCCATTCTTGGACAAGCATTCCATCTTTTGAAGCACTCTAGGTAGCTTGCACTTAAAACAACACAAGGAGGGTAGGCAATATCCATTCCTACACCAGGACAGGTAACGTACTGGGTACATTGGGGATGGGTTGAGGATGGAGTGTGCACAGCTCAAATCAGCTACCAACAGTCTCATCTACTAAAACAAGCTTTGGCTAGTTTATGAATGATACCTGATGAGATCGTGCAAAATTCACCCCAGCCTGGTACTTTTCCTGCAATTTTAGGAGTCACTGTAGAAACTCTCTCTCCTTTAATGAATCCACCTCGAGTAGTATGTACATTTAATTGTTGTCTTGACCCAAGATATTCAATGGACCTAAATCATGTGATGATTAAAAGAGGAATTAACTTCAAACTGCTACATTGGTCTGTAGTCAACCTTACTTTCCCACATTTAAATTATATATCTCATCTCTAGGTTTGTGCTTAATTTCCAGCGATGCAATAGTTACTAAGGGAAAAATTTGAATCATAGAATCCCTAGAGTGTGGAAACAGGCCCTTCAGCCCAATAAGTCCACACCGAACCTTGGAGCATTCCACCCAGACCCATCGCCCTATAACCCACCTGTGCTAGACATCTCTAAATAATTTGACATTGAAGTCATTCTACTTTTACAAATAAATCCCAAAAGTCTTCAAGAAGCACCTCAATAGTAAAAGGGTGGTAAAATGAGGAGTAGGGCTGATTAGGGACTAAAAAGGGTATTGTACTTGGAGCTAAGACCATGCCTGAGGTGTTAAATGAATATTTTGCATCTGTCTTTACCAATAAGATACTTCCAGACATAACAGAGGAGGAAACCCAATCATTAGAAGGGTTTAAGATTGATTAAGGAGCAGGTATTCGGCAGGCTGTTGATACCTAGGGTTCTTAAGGCACCAGGACCAAATGAGATGCATTGGAGGGAGTGAGTGTGTGCAAATTGCAGAGGCACTGACCAGTATCTTTCAATCTTCCCTAAACGTAGGTGGAGCAATAAGACTGGAGAATTGCAAATGTTACAGTCTTGCTCAAAAATGGTTATAAAAATTGATTCAGCAATTACAGACGAGTCAGTTTAACTTCAGGGGTGGGGAAACTTCTGAAAAAAACAACCATTAAATCACAAGGAAAAAGTGTGGATTGATTTGGAAGAGGCAACACAGATTTAAGGAAAATTCTGTTCAACTGACTAGCTGGAGTTTTTAGAAGAGGGAACAGAACAGGATTGATGAGGGAAGGTCTACTGATATGGTGTACATGGACTTACAAAGGTATTCAATACAATGACACGCAACAGACTAATGAGGAAAATAATAAGTCGCGGAATAAAAGAGACAGTAGCAACCTGCCACAAAATTGGCCGAGGGATAGGAAACAGAGTGTAATGGTTAATGGGTAGGTTTCACGAAGCAAGATGATTTGTAGTGGAGCTCCCCCAGGGTAAGTATTGGACCTTTGCTTTTCATTATACATGTTACAGAAATATATCGAAATGATCTAGATCTCAGTGCGGACAGAACAATTTTAAAGTTCTTCTCCCAAATGGTTGTGAATCTGTGGAATTCCCTGGCCAGTGAAGCAATTGAGGCTACCTCGTTGTGTGTTTTTAAGGCAAAGATAGATAGATTTTTCTTTTAAACAGGAAAGGAATTAAGGGTTATGGTGAGCATGTGGGTAAGTGGAGCTGAGTCCATAAGAAAGATCACCCATAATCTTATTGAATGGCGGTGCAGGCTCAAGGGACCAGGTGGTCTACTTCTGCTCCTAATTCTTACGTAAGACTTGAAAGAATTTTAAACTGAGAACGACATTGTGGAACTTCGAATAGACATTGACCCTCTGGTGGATTGGGCTGCTAAGTGACAGATGAAGTTCAATGTAGAGAAATGTGAGGTGCTGCATTCTGGTACAAAGAATATGGAAAAACAATTTTAATAAGGGTCCTATTCCAAGTGGTGTGCGAATCTGTATACATAAGTCATTAGAAGTGGCAAGATAAGCAGAATCACCAATAATAAAACAATCAGTACTCTAGGTTTCATAAACAGGGGACTTTAGTACAAGAGTGGGAGGTTATGATGAACTTTATATAAAGTCACTGGCTAGATCTGGACTGGAATATTGTGGTAAGTTCTGGACACCACACTATAGACTGCACTGGCAAAAGTGTGGAAGATGCTTACAAGAATCGGTCCAGGGATAAGATACCTCAGTTTTGAGGCAGGCTGGGATAGTTTTCCTTGGAGAGGGGAACGCCAAGAGGAGATAGATAGAAATTTTCAAATCACGAGGGGTCTAGACAGAGTGGATAGGAAAAATCACCATACCTGCTCAAACCAGACGGCACAGTTTTTGAAATGTTTGCTAAAGAAGCAAATGAGAGGTGAGAAAAACACTTTTCATTTTTTTTCAGTTAGCAGTGGTTAGGGTCTAGAACGCATTGCCTGGAAGTATGGTGGAGGCAGGCACAATTGAGGCACTGAAGAGCGCAGTAGATGATTATTTAACTACAAACAACGTGCAGGGGAATGGGAAAATGGCAGGAGATTGGCACGAGATTAAAATGCCCGGACAGCTGGCCTCCTTTTACACGGGAACGGTTGTAATTTGCCTGATTTTACGACTTGTTTAGGCTACGGTGTAACAAAAGGCCAGAATTTTCTTCCATCAAAGTCTAAAAAAATGACATGCAGAAAAATCCAACATTGGAAGACATCAGAGAAAGGCAAT